TTCCAGTAGAACAGGACTGTTCACCACCCACCCAGCACGAGGGCCCGCACCAAGCTCAGGACCAGCCGTAGCGTGGGATGGCCTACAATGACGAGATAAAACTTCAGATGCTGAACTGGCATTCGAGCTTACTGCTTATTGATGATGCGAATGATCTCATCGTGACAGTTGCCAATGTCCGTTTCCTTCGACTCGCCCGTTACCAACAGATAGTGACCGTAATCACCCTAAAAGCAATCAAAATCGCGAATGCCTTCCAACGTATCAACTCTACCTCATAGGAGTTCTTCACAACCCTAACTTCAACATCATACCTGTTATGCAACTGTTCCACTACTTCCTCACTCAATGTTGTCACTGAAGTAAACCACACATACACTTTCCTACCAATCAACTAACCCTAGACTTACATGCCGTGTCCGGGATACCCATCACAACATTCTTTGCTGTGAACGAGTCCAACAAGCGGGACACAGCATCCTGGAATACACCACAAGCACGGTATCGCACGGCATCAACCATTTTCGATTACCTTCATTCGGCCCAAGAACTGCTCCGTGCCCCGCAAGTGCAGAGTTACAGTCCCATAAGCATCCTTAGTGAAGTCGACACTACCCGTATTCGACAGCGGACCATTCTCCCCTAACAAAGTAGCATCATGACAAGGACGGGGGTTCGATCCCCAGTGAGGGTATTTTTACCATCTTCCGGTCCAGGACTCGACCTGACATGCTTGAAGAGCCTCCTAGTTGCGTCCTCTACCGATTTAGGACTACAGTTCACCAACAGTGTCTCGTACCTTCTCAACAGCAATCAACAGTAAGCCAGCTACGGTACATATCCTCAACTACTACCTGTCCTCAGAATCCTTGGTAGGAGTATCTTCCAAAGTCGACGGTGATGATGGCGTTACACCGGTTAACCCAAAGGCAAACAAATGCTCAATCGAGAGCGTCAACTGATACGCGGAATGATAGCTCTCCCCGACTACCACCATCAGCAACAAGTACTCACCTCGGAAGTCTTGTTCTCTCTCTTGAACTTCTCCAACCTGTCGATCCAGTTCTGTTCAACCTCCAGCACACTAGCCTCTACTCCCGAGAGGACCTGATTCGGCCGAGGTGTGGTAACAACGACTGGACGATACTCACCATGGTGGGACAAGATCCACTCTCCTCCTCATCATCATCGACCTCTTCGTCAGTAGCATCTAAGCTTGGCACGTGCTCGGGGTTACCTCGTCTGAAGGGACGAAAACACAGTGAGTAGTTCCAATAGAAATCCATAGGTTTCCGCAGTAGTGAATATTATCAACGTATTCAACGCCAACTGTATAGGTCTACTACTTATATACATTCAATAGTAACAGAGAGAAGAACAAAAGGCACAGCTCTAGTATTTGCGGAGTGTCAGAGGCGAGTTTCGAACCCGATACCACCGGGAAGAGAGACCAATGCTCCCCCGCTCAACCATCCCCACTACCTGATACTAATCTCCACACCTTTATCCCTAGCGAAACTGCGGAACTTCTGCAGCCCCTGTCCTCCCCGACCAAGATTCAACAGCTGCTTCGAGTGATCCGAACGTAGCGATATAGTGCACCTATCACATACTCATAATACCACATGGGCATACACCTGCTACCGGAAGTTATGTTCCCTCCATTCCTCCATCATGCTATACATCACTTTCTTAGCTCCTTCGAGTTCTCCAGGATAACACTCAAAAATCAACTGATCACAATACCATCACAACCCCAACCAGAGAGGCCCCACCAACCTCAACATGACCACTCGCCGCAGCATCTTTCGATGGATCCCCAGTATGCATAGCTTGACGCCGGCTACTACCAAATCTACCATCATCAAGTTCAACCCTCAACATTAACCCTGCATCCCTTAGACGCCGACGGTAACCCGTAAGACCATACTGAAAAAGAAGCTACTTGTGCGTATGCCGTGAGTGTTACTCACCTGGCATGGCGCACGGACTACATTGCCGAAGGAAGCAGCAGGATCACGCTTCACCGTTCTTCTGTCCCATATGCACTCAATAAGGTCTTCTGCGTCAACCTCCTCATCAAGACGCCACCTGATGCCCCACCATGTGGCCTCGAGGTGTGATGCCAAATGCAATCACTTACACAAGGGTTGACCTCTTCTGGGACTCTACGAACTTCATCACGATATCCTTAGCGGCACTCAGACTGACAACAACATGTCAATACACGCAGGTTCGATCCCACCACCCATCATTTTTCTCCTATTTCAATAACACCAACTACTCTACATCATTTCCAGGTAAATTCAGTCCGAATTTTTTAATAATTTCCTCACATTTCTCAAGAAAAATACCAGTGTGGGAAAATACGTACATGGTTAACCACATATGTTGCTGACGATATGCAAATTTTGAGGAAATTTTGGGAAAATTTCGTCGATACCTGTACATTTGCATTCGGATTCGTATGTGAACGTGTATAATTAGTGAGGAAATTCTCAAGTTCACTGAGGAAAGCGAACATATTCTCCCGATGTTAAAAATACCACTTTTTACAAACTGCTTTTGATGAAATACGTTCAATGTAATTCCGGCAGAACATCAAATCTGGGTTTCTCCCATCCACAAACAGCTATCCCTCCGACTTACTCTTTCTTCTTCCCAATAATCCTCAACGACCCGTATTGTGCCTCATTCATAGCATCACCACTTTCACCGCTTGGAGAGGACTGTCGAGTCGACACTCCAGAGGGATTCTCAATGTATAGGAAACAACCAGTCTCCACCTGGTGATAAAAATTCCGTCACGCGCCACGAAATTCTACCACACTACCCTGAGCTTCTCGATGTTCTGCCCGCCTCTACCGATAATGACACTAGCCTGGTTTCTAGCTGTGAGCTCGACAGTGGAATAACCTTAGAAAAATCAAGCATCATCATCAACATCAACAACACCTCAGAACCCCAGGAGTTTCAACACACTAACCTCATCGGCAACATGCCTTCAACCTACGCCCGTATTACCGTTCAGCCGATCTGCGATGGCTCTCTTCACTCTATCAAACACGTTACGCAATTTTGAGTCCGTTCTTCCACTAGAAGCCTTTTGCTTATCATCAGAGCCCATATCAGCTAGCTTCATCAAAACCTGTCAAAAAGAGGCACAAATTTCTAGCGGAGCGAAGCATCGATTTCACCCACCTGCTTTTCCTTGAACATCACTACTAGTCGACAACTAACCCATTCATACCGCTCCTCTATCTCTTTCTCGATGTACTTAGCGAAGAAGGCCATAGCTTGCAGCTGGGTATTGTCCAAATCACGGTAGTACCGAATCTAATACCATGATGATAATGCACTTCTTGCGTCCTCATGTATTAGGAGAATTCAGCTCAAGTGCAATACCGAGGGCATCGACTGAGTCCATAGACAAGCTCTGATGTGGATTGTTGTTACTAGGACAGTACGACTCGAATGCACCAAGAAATGAAAAAGGCGATAAAAAATGCCCTCTCCGATATTCGAACCCACGACCATCCGATTCCGAAACTACCCGCACTACCTCTTCACAAACTTCATGCTTGAGCTCAGCATAGCAATCAGCTACCCTCTTCTTCTCTCCTCTTATCTTCACTATGAGCGGCCCTCCCTCATCACCACTCCCACCAGTAGCATCGCTCTGAGAGTACTGCTGCTGAGGCTGCTGCTCTACTTCGTCCACCAACACTCCAAACTGGTTCGCTAGACGACGAAAGTTCGCACCGTTACGTCCTGACAGAATGTTCAAGTCTGCCATGCACAGTACGGGGAAATACACACATAGTCAAACACATGTGTTTGTGACAGCAAGGAAATTCAGAGGAGTTTTTGTAAACTTCTACCCTACTCTACAACGAGTGAGGAAACTCCTGAGCTCGGCTGAGGAAAGCGAACATATATTCATACTCCAACACCAACCCTGCCACAGGCCCTAAAACTTGTCTGCACGTGACAATTTCAGCAAAAGTATGACCCTACAAATTTTAATTCTTCTGAGCTTCGCTCCGCTAACAAATTGCTTACCTCGAGAACGCTGCACTTTTTCCGCCGGAATGACTAGCCTCATCTCCTCATAACGACCACGGGGCAGTTTCAATGACGCACACGTATCCCGACAATCCAACTGATGAAAAACGCATTTTTCTTAGCGGAGCGATGCACCTTCATGCTACCTCTTCCTCAACAGTAACCTTGGCAATCTCGAGAGCTTTAGTGTGAGCAATGCAGTCAGCTGAAGAAAAAAGGGGTAAAACGACTAAGTCGATTGCAAGTACCTTTTTTCTTTCCCAACTTGGAGAATTCCAACTGCAAGTCCTTCAACTTGCTACCGATACTAGGGCCGATAGAGCGACTAGCACTTCTGATGAAAAAATAGGAAAATGCCGCGACAGACGGCAATTTGTGTTCATGCTATACACTCTCAAGGTTTGCATTTCTCACCCACTGATTAACAACTTACATGTACAATATAAGACCACCAATGTGGGTCAATGTGATATCAAATACCCATCGATAAAGTAGGGTGAAAACGCATATTGGAGTTTTATGAAAAAACACTAGTAAAAGCCCATATCTCACAAACCACTGCATATCACCGCGAATATCGGGTCTTTCACAGAGTATTACTTCGCCACTTGACGCAAGACGGGTGAAACTCCAGTGCTATCACTATCTACACATACCTCCCCTGAGTAGCTCACCTCTTACTGCTGTGTCCAGCAGCAGCAGCAGTAGTCGACTTAGCCGTGGTAGCCCGAGCAGCAGATTGTTCATGCTCCTTTTGTTGGGACTTAGCCTCAGCCGCCAGAGCCTTGATGCTGCTTTCCAACTTCATCATACGTGCATGAACCTACCATGCAGAAAATGCCAACTAATTCGACTTCTTTCCACCCCACCTGAGATGTGTCTTTCACCACAGACTCCAAGGAGTTCACAGCACGCATCTTCAGTTCAGCGAGGTCGGGGTCCGAAAGAGCGACCAACATACCACGAGCGCTCTTCTCATCCTTGTTCTTCTCAAACGCCATTAGTTTTGCTCTGAGAAAAATACATGCCCGTCGATGCCACACACTTTTGATGAGCACCAGATCAGTACTGGAGGAATATATGTTCACTTTCCCCAGCTGAGCTCAGGATTCTCCTCAATGACTATACGTATTAGGGTAGAAATAGTTAGAAACACATATATCAACACATGTCGTTGACCATGTGCATATTTTCCACCTACACTACACTCCACTACGTAGCACAGATGGTCTCATCGCTGGCAAACGAAAAACAAATAACGCCGTGAAATTTTTCAAACGAGAATAAATAGCATATATTCTGAGAGAAAAACAGAATCATTTTATCAATGCTCATGACTTTTCCATCATATCATACCGAGTAGAAATTGCAATTTCATAAACACTTAAAGACACCGCCACAGATTAGCGCTTCCGCTGTAGGACTAGCCAGGGAGTTGAGACCGTCACTGTTGATTGAATATTCGCCGACTTCGAAAAAAATAGGCGCGAGGAGCGATGTATGAAAATATATACACATGGTCAGCTACGTACTTTGGTAAAAATATGAGAATTCTGAGAAAATTTTCGGGAATTTTTTTCTTGATTTTTATACCCTCCAATCAGAATTCGTATGTACTATTGAGGAAACTCCTGAGGAAAGCGAACATATATTCCTCCAAGACTATATTACAGATTCTCCCCACTGATATCAGCTCCCACAGCCATCAGCTGTTGAGCAGACATAGTGTCCGATCCCCAGGCCCCTCCTCCACCAGCAGCAGCGGACCACGGGCTACTCGAGGGGGCACGAGGCATAACCCTGTTGTTGTTGGACGTAGTAGTAGTAGCTGTCATACTCGAAGTCTGCTGGGCAGGACTAGGAGACATGTCTTTCTGAATTCTAACGTAGAACTGTTCAAGACAAGCGCTTGAATGAATGTAATCTGAGATTGTCGCTACTGACTGACCGAGATGTCGACACCGATATGAAAAATAATCGATCAGAATGGCGCGCGCTCTTATCCCAGCGCATGATCTTCTATCGCTCGCCCGGCGAGTTTCTGTCTGGTTCACATACCACACCTCGGAAATTTCCTATCTGACGACTAGACTCTACTCCCGATCTTCGTCGAGGCATTGCCACGGTAGGAAGCTAATCGCCAGGAGCAGCCTCGAGCCAAGGGAGCTCCATTTGCCTTATGCGTCGGCCGTAAGTGAT